AGACGGGGTTTCACCATGTTGACCAGGATGGTCTCGATCTCTTGACCTCGTGATCCACCCGCCTCGGCCTCCCAAAGTGCTGGGATTACAGGCGTGAGCCACCACGCCCGGCTCTTATTATTTTTTTAACCCTACTTTATTGTAATGTATTACTAGTTTAAGAAATTAGGAAACAGCCTATTTCACTTTTTTAATTTAAAGCGCATCATGGCAAAAGATGAACGGCTCAGTAAATGTGAGCTCTTCAGTTCCTTCAGCTTCTCGTGTTGTCTGCCTTCCTAGCTACCGTTTTCCTGGTTTGTCAGCTTTTCTTTCATGCTGTTTTATTATTGCAAGTGTGTCCACTTGGATCCTTGCAGGAGAGGAAGTAGGTAGGCCTGCTGGGAGGACCACGCACTCCCCTTTTCTGCAAACATTCACCAAAAGCAGTACATTCCTGATTTGGGGGCAACTGAGAGCCGAGGGAGAAATTCTATTAAAATATGGCTTAGGATGTTATTCACGGTTTTCTATTACATCGATTGGGGTTTTTCGTTCCGAGAAAACGGAGAGGAATGTTCTCGATTGATTCTACTGACTGGAAGTTTTCTTGTTTTTCCAAATTTTCCAGAGGTGCTATTCATTATTTTTTGACATGACATTTGTGGAATTTGGCAATAACTCTAAAACTACTGCTTACTTAGGACATGTACTGGCCCTCCCGGGAGGCACATTTGCTCTCTTGGCTTTCTCAGAAGTGGAGCTGTGGGGAGGGCGCGCGGCAGCTTCAAGAGAGCACTGAGGGCCCCCGAGTGCCAGGAAATGTCTCTTCCTCCTTCACACGGGAAATGTGGACGGCAATGTGACATGAAGACCTGGGAGTTCCCCACAGTGACTTGGGCTTAACAGCAAGAGCTGGGCTTTGGAGGGCTGCGATCTCCTTCCACCTCCTTCCTCAAACTGGCACCTGCTCCAGCCTCCCCTGTACCCAGTGTTAAGGGCACTTGAAAGTTCTGTAGTGCAGAGCACGAGGTGTTTATTCACCGGCCACTAGCCTTCTGCAGAACGATTAACGTAAGATTTCTCTTCTAGCATATGGAAATTTCTCCATGGCACACAAAACAAGAAGCAGAATTTAAAGTCAAGTCTAGTGGGATGTGACCAGTCACTTAAATTTAATTTTCCTTCCTACCTTCTACAGTGAGTTCTTCTGGGTGATGGCCCCTGATGGGACTCCTGCCACCTATTCCCCTGATCCCAATGCCAATTATTCTTAAAATTAATATGAATTAGCACTCTGGTAATCACAGAAAGCAAAGGTTTCACTGGAACGGCCAATCAGTAAATGCTTGGATGTGTAATTTACTCACAGTCCTGCCCACTTTCCAGGTGGAGAGCAGAGGGGGACACAGAGGTGGGTTCCTCACCTGCCTGCCCTTCTAACTACACACATCCGCCCCAAGAGGCCTGCGATGAGAGGGAAAAAACCTCTGTGAACTCCTCCATTACTAAACCTGGAAGAGTAAAAAAATTGTGGGTTGCTTTATCTTCTTCCTTTTCTAACCTAGGATTAAGACTGGGGAGAGTAAAGGTAGGGACTGATGGGGGTGGACCGGGAAGCAGCCCCAAAGCAGAGGGTTGCTCCAGGCTGCGGCCAGCTTGCATGCTACGAAAAAGGGGATAGAAGCCAAGTACCTAGCCCAAAGGGAAACATTAACTGATCTCAGATGCCTTGGAAACAGACCGTAATTCACCCAAATGGCATCGTAGGAAATGGGATTTCTGGACTGACATGCTCAAGCATGAGCAAGATGAAAGCAAACTGCATGGCCGCAGTGCAAAGCTCCTGCAGCAACAGAGCAATAAGAACAGTGTGAAATTCAGAAAAGGAGTTGGGGTGTGTTCATTTGCTAAGACTGTCTGAACAACTTACCACAGTCTGGATGCCGTAGATAACAGAAATTTATATTCTCACGATTCTGGAGGCAGCATTGCCTTTCCTGAAGCTTCTCTCCTTGGCTGTAGATGGCCTATGTCTGCACCTGGTCTTCTCTCTGTACCTGAATGTATCCAAATGTCCTGTGTGTGTAAGGATACCATTTGTATTGGATAGAGGCCCACCCCAATGACCCCATTTTAACTTAATGACTTCTTGAAAGACCTGCATCCTAATACAGCTATGTTCTGTGGTCCTGGAAGTTAGGACTTTAACATGTAAATTTGGGGCCAGGGAGGGAACACAATTTAGTCCATAACAGAAAGTTAGAAGTGAAAATAGTAAAATACAAAGAAAACATAATTCAAGGAACAGAAAGAAAGTCCTGACAATTGCTTTATGCTGAGAATCACTTAATGTGAATTTCAGGTAATCAGAGTTTAAAGATAAGATGTTAAAATGAAAGA